CTCGGCGGGGATGCGCGCCGAGGGCGGGACGGGTGGCCGGGCTCGCCGCCCGCCCCTCCGGATGTTGGCAGCTGGCGGCAGCTGGGCTTTGTTCGCCGTGTCCGGCCCCGCCGCGCAGCCCGGGGCGCCTCGCCGTGGGTTAGCGGAGGTGCTCCCGCCGAGCCACCCGGGGTTTGCGGACTTGAGCTCGTTCCTCGATTCCCTTCGGACTCCGGAGCGCCCGGGCCGCGCCTCTGGCGGTGCCCGGCACCCACCTCCCAGACAGAACATGTGTTTCACCCTCCACAAACCGCCCGAGAAATGMGCGGAGCCTAAGCTGACAATCCTAAACGCCCGCGGTGTGGATAGCACGGCGCTTTCCTGGGCCTGCTGAAAGAAGGAGCTTGTTCTGGCCACCCTCTGCGAGCGCTGATAAACGAGGGGAATCAGAACCGGCACAAGGGCTGATGTGTCGGAGGAGGGGGCAGCGGTTTCGCTGCGCTTTGTGGCAGCGTTTATTGTGTGGCCACAGACTCACAGACTTGGCCTTTGTGGATCTCTCGCCGAGGAGGTGTCGAGCCTGCTAATGCCGGCTCCTGGGCTGCCCTGGCCTCTGCGAGGATGCTGAACCCCAAACAAAGATGTGAACAACAATGACAACAACCAACAACAAAGTCATGTTGATTTCAAGCTCCATTAGAACAACACGGGAACAAATCAATGCCTGGCAGGCAGAAAAGGATGGAATCAGTGGGGAAGGATGCCACACATAGTGGGGAAGGGAAAGGGGGGAGCAGCCGGCAGCTATAAAAAGATACCCCTAAGGACCCCTTCAGCAGTCTCCTCCTCCTTTTAATTCCTTTAGAAGTTAATTCCTGTTCAAGGGAAGGATGGGCAGCTCTGTAACAAAGCGGATTAGCCAGATACAAGGTTTGTTCCGAAATAACAAAAGTTATTACGTAGTAATGAGGTTTAGCTAATAGATTCGCAGACTGTAAGGCCGCTGGGATTCCTTTGGACATCCTGCCTGTGGAGCTGAGGCTGCTGAATGATGATTTCTGCCTCCTGCCTCCTCTCTAAAACACCAGGAGTGCAACCCCCCCTTCTTGTGGACAGGCAGACCAYGGGGAGTTCCCAGCACCCTCGTTGTTGGTTGGTTTTCCTGCCAGGGGAGTGTTTATCTGTCTAATTTCAGTTTTAATCCATAAAATCTCATTATTTTCTTTCTCAACTCCATTAAAGAGATACCTCCGATGAGACACTGCTCCCCTGGGCAGTTCTCTCCGAGTTACCATGGAGTTCCCCACATTAACAATGTTCCAGTTTACATTATTCCCAGGGTTACATCCCCCCTTCTCCTGTTAATTTGTCACTGCACCCGAGCTGGTGTCCCTGAGATCTGTGGGGCAGCCACACCTCAACGCTCCTCTCTTAAGCTTCCTGCGTTTCAGGTGACATTTTCAGCCTGGGGGAAAATTCACATTTCCCTTCAAGAATCTGGGGAGTTTTGATAGAGCCTCGGGGCCTTGGCCTCCCAAATCACAGACCTCAACCATGTGAGACAAAAATGTAAATCCATTTAGCAGCAGCAGCAGCAGCAGTGGACCATTAGCCCTGGTGCATCAGGCCTGACTTACTGAGCCAGAATGTATTATTTTCATGATCCTGCACAAAGCAAAACCCATCGCATTTGGCACAGTTCTGGCTGTTAACTTCTGAGATTTATTGCACAGTGCCACGGGGCCCCTGTTCTGCAGCRTTTTGTGAGTCCAAAATTTCTGTGAAGCCCAAGGGGACTTGTGCATGAGCAGGAGARGCAGGAGCAGAATGCTCTGGTTTGGCAGTTTTTTTGTTATTTCTGGGGGAGGAAGATCATAATATGTAACATATTTAATTGCATCATGCTTATTTTATTTTTTTTTTTATTTGGGGAGGTCTCTGTGCGTGTCCTCTGAGGGGCTGTGGGAGCTGCMTTTGGCTTTGCTGGATCAGCTGGTTTAGCCCATTTTTTATTTCCTTGTCCTAACCCTCACACAGTGGGTTCCTAAAACTCATCCCAGACAGGGATGAACAGGAACCCCAGCTGTGGTGCCTGTGATGATGGGGCAGGGGATTTCAAAGTTCCTTCTGCAGGAACACATGAACCACTGTGAGTTTCAGAAATCCCCTTCACAAACTCATAAACACATAGAAACAAAGAGAGAAGAAACCAACCCACCTGCTGCCTCAGCTGGAACTGGGCTGGGAGGAATCCCACCTTCTCCAAGGGAAATAATTCTTAATTCTGCGATATTTACCCTCTCTTGGTTTTTAGGGGTGGTAAAAGCCTCATTTTAGATGGCAAAGAGCCACCAAAGCAGAGCTCAACCCCCTTCCTGTGCACCCCTGTGAAATCCRGTTTAGGCACAGACACTGGGAGCGGTGTAGGAACTTGGCCGACACTCACATCAGTTGTCACGCCAATATCATTCTTGAAAATTGCCATTAGAGCATGAAACAACATTTGGCTGGAAAAAAATAAAAAGAAAAAAAAAAAGAAAAAAAACAACAGGCTTGCAGTGTTTTGTCCGCCCAGCATTTTGGCTGTTCTGCTGGCACCGGGGTTTTCTGCTGATGCTGCCGTGTGAGGTAACGTCTCCTCAGCAACCTGCTGGAATGGGACCTCCCCAAAGCCTTGCCACTGGGTTTCCTGGTCTTTTGGCAGCTTGAGGGACTTGGGATGGGGCTGGTGAGGGTTTTCTGCATTAGCACAGCTCCTCTGGATGGGGCTGGTGAGAGTTCTGCATTGGCACAGCTCCTTTGGGTGTTTTTGGTGAGGTTTCTGCAGTGGCACAGCTCCTCTGGATGAGGCTGGTGAGGGTTTTGTGGTGGCACAGCTCCTCTGGATGAGGCTGGTGAGGGTTTGGATGGGRTCAGTGARGGTTCTCCACTGGCACAGCTCCTCTGGATGGGGTCAGTGAGGGCTCTGCATTGGCACAGCTCCTTTGGGTGTTTTTGGTGAGGTTTCTGCAGTGGCACAGCTCCTTTGGGTGTTTTTGGTGAGGTTTCTGCAGTGGCACAGCTCCTCTGGATGAGGCTGGTGAGGGTTTGGATGGGGTCAGTGAAGGTTCTGCAGTGGCACAGCTCCTCTGGATGGGGCTGGTGAGGGTTCTGCATTGGCACAGCTCCTTTGGGTGTTTTTGGTGAGGTTTCTGCAGTGGCACAGCTCCTCTGGATGGGGTCAGTGAGGGTTCTGCATTGTCACAGCTCCTCTGGATGGGGTCAGTGAGGGTTCTGCATTGGCACAGCTCCTTTGGGTGTTTTTGGTGAGGTTTCTGCAGTGGCACAGCTCCTCTGGATGAGGCTGGTGAGGGTTTTGTGGTGACACAGCTCCTCTGGATGGGGTCAGTGAGGGTTCTCCACTGGCACAGCTCTTTTGGCTGGAGTCTCCCCTGCCGAGCTGATGCACATCCTTCCCCAGGCTGGAACAGCTGCAGGAATCAGCCTCAAATCTCTGTAAAACAGCTCCTGTCTGCTCTGGAAGGAGCACAAGAACAGGGCTGGGCCGATGGATGGCCCCCAGGGGATCCAGGAATCCCCCCAGTGTGTTCCCAAGCAGCGGCCGGCTCCCTGCCACTTGAAAAGCTCGGTGGGAATGGACACCTTCGAGGAGTTTTTTACAGTTTTGACTACCAGAAAAGCCTTGSAAGGAGGGGAGGAGGAGGGGGGAAGGGGTTGCTCTTTAAAGCTTTCCTCGGTGGGGTTTTTCAGCTGCTTTTGTTTGCTGCAGAGCCCACAGCAGAGAGCTGTCACTCGGAGCTGGGAGCGCGCTTGACACTCCTGTCTCCGCCGTGTACCTGGTGTGTATTTGCTGCAGTGCTGATTACATTAGCTCCCGTGTTTATAAACATTTGGAATCAGYGCAGAAAGCTGCGCTGAACGGAATTCTAAAGCCGGCATCCGTTTTATTTTTGCTTTTTCATCTGTGAGCACGCAATAACGCAGCCAGCAATGGGGGATCGGGGGTGCAAAAGGCTTCCCGAGCTGATCCTGTGCCTGGCTTCGCTTCTGAGCGCTCCTACATGAAATCACATAAAAACCGCACGGATGCACCGTGCAGACAGCTCGCACTCCCTCGGACCTCGAGGCACCATCCTATTTTATTTAAAAAGCAATTCAGCGCTGATCGTCGCTCCTGCCCCGCTGTTCTCTGGATAGGGCCAGCAGTTGGAGGAGGAATTAAGCCTGGACTGGGGAGAAAATTGCCTCCCAGTTAATGGGAGCTGATGCGAGCTGCGAGCAGGCTGCAAACAGCAGCGGGTTTTTTTTTTAATTTTTTTTTTTTTCTGAGCCCCTCCGCTGAAGGGTTTGTGAGAACCTCGCCGCTGTCT